TTGTTGGATCATGGAATTATTTTTATCCTTCTCATTTCATTTTCCCCTGAAGCAAATAATTACATTTGTTCCTGGAGGAAAATTGTTGCTTAGTGTGAAAAACTTGAACAGTAACTATATATCTGAGAGTGCTGGTTAAGTATCAGTGGATGAAGACAGGTCTATAAATGTTCTTATCCACAGGAGGCCAATGGTCTTGTGCGATTTAAAAATACCGGGTATTTGTACTTCTATGAAAATCATTATTTTAGTTTTCTCTAGTAATGATCACAAAATATCCCGTTTGATTTAAATGTGAGATTTCAAAGATTTTGACACGTCTTGTATTTTACGAAGGTGCTCCACACTGTTAAAACACATCCGCAGATTGCTGAAAAGTCTCCATCCATATGGTTTAAACAAGCCTCACGTTAGAGTTACTGCAGATAGTTTTCAAAAACGTGCCAACATGTGGCAGCAAAATACTTATTGTTTTTGATAAACAAATATTTTGGCAGATAATGTTGAGGTAATAAAATGGAAAGGACTTTACGTCTCATAACTACGTAAATAAATTAAACTGTTATTTAATAAATAAATATTGAAGTAACAGAAATTAGTCAGAAGCACTATTTTTTCATCACCTCTTTCAGTGATAGACCACTTTTAAGATGATGCCAGTGCTGTCTATGAATTAATGAGAGGCTCCTGGTTGACCTGTTGCTTTTATAATTTCCTATAGAAAACCACATGCATATAGACAAATATTTGGGGCATTTTAATTGGAAAAGCAAGTGTCCTACACTAATTCTTTTTAGGGTTTTGGAAACCCTTCTTATCTTTCATTGTTACGAAGGTGCAAGGGAGGAGAAAATTAATGACACTTTAATTGGGTTCCAGCACCTTTAATTCCACGCGCATCATCTTCTATAGTACTTGTTATTTTAATGCTAATCTTGGGGAACTGTGGCAAAGCTTTACCTTCTGGGCAGAATATTTAACTGGAAAAAGCTATGAGTTTATAAGTGTTCCCTTTCAAAATAATCACATCTTGTAATTTGACCGTGTGTGTGCACTACCTTCCCTTGGAGAAGCTCAACTTTTTCCATATGTTGGTTTTTCTCAAAAAGAAAGAAATTTTTGTGGGTCCTAATTAGAGAGGTAGCATTACGCAGCAAGTGGTGACTCTGGCATTCAAAGATTTGAGAAAGCCGCTTGCCAAGCAAGCAGGACGCTGTGGATGATGAAAAGTATGAATGGAGTCTTCTGGCAAATGGTTGCCCCTGATTGAGAGGGTGGAGCCGGGCCTCAGCTCTGGTTAACAGAGACTTGAGTGGGTCTCCCTCCTATCTGGAAGCGCACATACCCCCGGGCACTCAGGTGTGAGTGGAAGTTCAAAGCCTAGACAGCCTCAGCCCACAGTATCGCCCAGGAGAACCTTGGCCATTACAGATCAGCGAGGCCATTCTTCCTGGGAATTTGACTTCACACACAAGCATGGACAAAAGTTTGGGACCTTTACCCTGGGACTTCTTTCCTGAATTTCCTCTTCCCTCCTCCTGATACAAGGCCTGCCTGTGTATGAAGGTGGCCTGGGCTGGGTTATAAAATCTGTGTTCTGACTTGGGCAAAGGAAAAGAGACGACTTCAGTGAATTGGGTACAGCATCAAGTTTTCTTAACCTTACAATTGTGATTGAAAAAATCCTTAATTTTCTTAAAAATAATTTCATTTTATTTACTTATTTTTATTTAGTTAGTTAGTTTTTGCAGTTTTTGGCTGGGGCTGGGTTTGAACCCGCGGTCTCAGGTATGTGGGGCCAGTGCCCTACTCCTTTGAGCCACAGGTGCTGCCCCCTCATTTACTTTTAATTATTGATTTTTTGAGAAAGAGTTCCACTCCGTCACTCCAGTGAGAGCGCAGTGGTATGACCACAGTTCACAGCAACCTCAGACTCCCGTGCTCCAGGGATCCTCCTGCCTCAGCCTCCTCGGTAGCTGGGGCTCAAGGAGATCCACCAGGCCTGGCTAATTGCTCTATTTTTGGTAGGGGATCTTGCTCTTGCTGAGTCTGGTCTCTCGCTCCTGGTTTAAAAGCAATCCTCCCGCCTCAACCTCCAAAACTGCTAAGATTACAGGTGTGAGACACCACGTTCAACCCTAAAAAATAACTGTAAATGTTGCCACTCTACTTAAGAAATTTGTCATTTTTGTGAAGGCATATTTTGAACATAAAAATAAAAAACACCACCCAATGTTAAGCATTCCATTATTCAGCTGTCACGTCGCGTCACTGGCCGTGATGAGAGAACCCCACCTTCTCTTCCACACATGACCCTCATCCAAGAAAATATTTTTGTCATCTATTCATCCATCCGTTAACCGGCTCGCCACTCTGGACGCTTTTACTTCTTTACAGTTGGAGTATTTCTTCCCTAACCCTACTCCTGCCCCCACCCGCATCCCACAGTCCCCATCCCCATCCCGCGCCGTCACAAGAATCACGTGGGTCATGGGACTCCCGCAGGATCTTCTGCTTGCTTGCCCCTAGATTTTTTTTATAAGTACGCACCTGGGGAGATACTCCCCGGCTCTACAGCCAGGGCATCCGTCAGCTCACCTGTTTTCCTTTTCTGGAGCTTGTAGCTCCTCTCGAAGGCCTCGGTTTCTGGACTTGCAGGTTTGCGCTCTCTCTCCCTCTCTCCCTCCATCTCGGTGCTCTCCCCGCTTTTCCCTCTCTCCCTCCCTCCCTTCTACCCCCGCTCTTTCCCGCTCCTCCCTCCCTCAGTCTCTCTCCTCGTTCTCTCCCCTCTCTTCTCTCAGACCCCCCTGGCGGCCTCCCGCTCTATCTCCCCCTCTCGCTCTTCCTTTAACTCTCAGCTCCACTCCCTTGTCCATCTACCTGCCTTTCTTTAAATGGATGGGTAACGCAAGCGCGCGCGCGCCCAGCCCCCCGCCTGTCCCTCTACCCGGCTGGGGAGGACTTGCAGCTGCCTGGAAAACTAGAAACCAAACCCTAGAGGAGGAAGCTGTGGAGGCTGCGGTCGGTCTCCGGTATCCCTTCTGGACTTGAGTGTCATCTGGTATCCCCCATCCCAACTTACCGGGAGACTTCCATCCTCTCCCAGCCTCAGTGCTGGGGAGAATGTGGGCAGGACCGCGGCGAGCGCCCTCACCCTCGGCGCACCCACGTGGGCGTCCCAGTGCCGCAGCAGCAGCAGGTGTCGGGAGTGAGGGGGAATCGGGAACCCGGCGCAGCACCCCAGCTTCCAGCGCTCTCCTGCCCCCTCTTGGGGCCCTTTCCTCTCTCCTCGGCCTTTTGAAGCCACCGAGGCTTCACAGCACAGCTTTCGTCTGCTGTCTGCCTAGTTCCTCCTATCCCTCACCGCCATTATCCCTAACCAGAGCCCCAGTGCCTCGCCAGGCGCGAGGTCCGCGGCTGACGGCCCTGAGGTTCCCAGACTACCCGGCGATGGCGGGGACTGGGTGGCCCCTAAGTCCGGTTGGCACGTCCATGTTCTGCGCGGGCAGAGTCCGCAGAGGCCGGGAGGGCGGGACGGAACCCGGCAGGGGAGGAGGTGCTGCTGCAGCGCGCTGGGAGGGACTCCCCACACTCACGCGCGCCCCAGCCCTTCGCGCGCTGCCTGGTGTTTACTGTTATTTCCTATTCAGTTATTGGCATTTTCCAAGCTGGGGTTCTTCCGGTGCCGTTTCCCCAGCAACTCGTTTCTCCCGGAGTTTAACGCGCCGCGCGCGCGCCTGGATGCGTGGATGTACATGGTGGGGTGGGCTGGGGAGGGGATGACCCGTGAATGGTTTAGATTGGTTTTTAATATCTCGAGGAGGGGGAAGGTAAATTGCAAGAAGCTGGGGTCTTTACAGAAGCAATTTGGTGGTGGCGACCTCTGCATCGGGCCCCGATTCACCGCGAAACTTTCACTGCCGCCTCTTCCTCCGGCGCGCCCCCGCCTCGACTCCAGGCTAAGAACGGAGTAACGAGGAAGCCTCCGTCCCGGAGAAGAGACAGGGCTCCAAAGCTCCCCCTTCCCTTAGGCTTGGAACGTAAGAGGTGGGAGGCAGATCGGTCGCGCTCGCTAACCCTTAAAAAGTGAAAAACCAAACCCCAAAAGGGATTTTCGCGTGATGGCCCCTCCCCCCTCCACGCCTTTTATCCCGCACGCGGATCCAGCTCTGGATTTGCCTGCTGCATCCTAGCCCCTTCGTCCAGGCTGGCCAAGTGACAGATCGCAGGCGGTTCCTCACCCCCTCCCCCTCCCCCCAGGACCGAGCCGGTGTGCTGTCCTTGCTGCCGCCGCCGCCGCCCCATTCCGCCGCGCACCAGCCCCAGGGGCGCCGGCCGCGCGGAGCTGCCGGAGTTCGCCCCTGCCCGGGGCTTCCAGGAGGGTCGTGCCGCTCAAGGCCATGACTAAGGCGCCCACTTGGTAACTCTGCCATCTTCCTGCTCCTTCCTCCTCCCTTCCTTCCCCGCCCCCCTGAGCCACCCCCGTTCCCCTCCGCCACCCTCCAGCCCTCCTCCCAGACGCCCACCCACCCGCTCCTCTTTCCGCAAGATCGCAGGGGTGGCGCGGAGCCTGGCAAGCCGATGACGGACCCTTTCCTCCCGTCTTCAATGCCTCAGCGGGAGATCCCCAAGGGCTGGCGAGAGGAGTGCTGCCGCTGGACAACCTCCCGGGGAGGCTGCTCCGACCTGCTGCTCGTCGTGTATGAAACAGGGGACTGAGCCAGCCCCA